TATCACTGTCATACAAGTAGAGAAGACTTTACATTTTTAAACTAGTCATGCTTACCCAATATTCATTAATAATACTAAGGGATAATTAGAAGGAATGCTGCTTGGGATTAGATAGAATGGGTACTTATTTATTCTTCCTTACATTGTATTACTTTAAGAAGTTAGAGATTAGCCTCAGTCTCATTTTACATACAGTAAGATTTTGCTTTTCATTTACCAGATCTCAGTTTTCTATTCGTCTGAAAACTCGTTCCTCCCATGGGATGATTTTCTATGTCTCGGATCAAGAAGAGAATGACTTCATGACTCTATTCTTAGCCCATGGGCGCTTGGTTTTCATGTTTAATGTTGGCCACAAGAAACTGAAGATTAGAAGCCAGGAGAAATATAATGATGGATCATGGCATGATGTAAGTTGAAGGCAGAGAATAGCATTATCAGCAAATATCCACCATTGTCAGATGGACTAACACTAATGCCCACTATTGGTCTCTCTAGAAATATCTATTTTAAAATTCTTCTTTTATTCATTTCTTATAAAAATCTTGGAACATACTATTTGAAAAGATACCTAGGCTGAGTGTAATTATTTTAAGCAAGGATCAGTGGCCAACATAAACTGAAGTTTGGTTTCCAGCGACTTTTCACATGACTTTTTTTTCCCCTTCCTATAGGTTCTTAATTTTCAACAATTATTACTGAGCATCTTTTATAGGCTAAGCTGTGGAAGTTACAAAGTGAAGGGTAAATCAGGAACACAGGATGTCACAGGGGGCACACCTAAGTATTGAAAGAAATCAGTGGGTATATAATGTCAAGAGCAAGTGATGTAAGGTGCATTACAATAAATTATAAGAAGTTTGAGAGAGGGAGAGAACGTGGGCTGGTCAACTGAGAAGAGCTTCACGAAGAACTCTGCTAAACATAAGCTGCATTCAGCAATTAAGCCTGTAACTTTAAATCATTCTGTCCAGGGGTCATAAAATATATGGATCACTTCCTCTAATATATGAAGCGGTAAATAGAAGGTGAGCAGGAAAAATACACCTATGAATATAAAGCAAGGAGGCCTGGAGACAACTCACAACAAAACAGAATCAAGTAAGGGATGAGGTTTCTGGCATTCTGAAAATTGTATAGCCGGAAGCCTACTAAAGAGAGGAAGAGACAAACCCCTGACCTTCAGAGAAGGGACCACTTTTTTTAATGAACTTTTCTGCAAGTTTCTCATAGCATTGCAAAAGCAAAATTGGGAGGAGAGGCAACCCATCCTTTTCCCCAGTCTTTGCATGTACTTGAGATGTACTATCTTCCTTCTCTTCGTTCAGGTGATATTTATTCGGGAAAAGAGCAGTGGCCGATTGATAATTAATGGCCTTCGAGTCCTAGAAGAAAGTCTTCCTCCTACTGGAGCTGCCTGGAAAATCAAGGGTCCCATTTATTTGGGAGGTGTGGCTCCTGGAAGGGCTGTGAAAAACGTCCAGGTAAGCAGGTGTGGCTAGGGAAGCCATGGACCTGTAGAGCTGGAAGATCACTTAATCCAGGCCCTTGTTTTACAGATTAGAACTAGCAAGAGTAAAACTGTAGTTTGGCTGGAGATGGGATATCAAAGTGAGTGCTGTCCCAAGCTGGCTGGCTGCCCTGTGGCATTACCAAGTTAGGAGTGATTTTTTGATTCTAAGGTAGAGGTGAGATTTAAAAAAAAAAAAAAAAAAAAAGTTTCAGAGGTATAAATTATCATGAAAAGTTATGT